TTGCTTGTAATTTGGGCCTTTACACTCTTCCTGACCCTGCTCTGCATGGAAAGTGACGTGAAAGGGATGGTCACTTAAACAGTAAAATAATGAGGGTCACCATTATCCTATGTCTCCATGAATCTACCAACTACCTATTACAGTGCCTGTTTCACCATCATTTGAGCCTCTCTATTGGTTTAAACATGGAGCCCTGGTGGCACAATGGTGAAGCACTCAGCTGCTAACTGAAAGGTCGGCAGTTTGAACTCACCAGCAGCTCTGCAGGAGAAAAGACCTGGCAATCTGCTCCTGTAAAGATTACAACCTAGGAAACCCTATGGAGCATTTCTACTCTGTCATATAGGGTCGCTATAGAGTCATAGTCAACTCAACAGTGCCCAGCAATACTGACTTAAACACTGCCTTCTGCAAGTTACTCTATTAAAATGATAACTCTTTTCCAAACCCAACCCAACCCACTGCCATTGAGTCATAGCAACAGAGTAGATCTGCCCCAGAGGGTTTCTGTTTTGGATTGAACTGTGTCCCCGAAAAATGTGTGTCAACTTGGCTAGGCCACAAGTCCGAGTATTGTGTGGTTGTCTACCATTTTGTGGTCTGATGTGATTATCATATGTGTTGTAAATCCTAACCTCTATGATGTTAATGAGGCAGGATTAGAGGCAGTTATATTAATAAGGCAGGACGCAATCTACAGGATTAGTTGTATCTTGAATCAGTCTGTTTTGAGATATAAAAGAAAGAATCGAGCATTACTACAAAGTAAGAAGAACCAGGAGTGGAGCAAATCCTCTGGACCCAGGGTCCCTGTGCTGAGAAGCTCCTACACCAGGGGAAGATTGATGACAAGGACTTTCCCCCAGACCTGACAGAAAGAGAAAGCCTTTCCCTGAAGCTGGTGCCCTGAGTTTGGACTTCTAGCCTCCTAAACTATGACAGAATAAATTTCTGTTTGTTAAAGCCGTCCACTTGTGGTATTTCTGTTATAGCAGCACTTGATAACTAAGACAGTTTCCAAGGCTGTAAATCCACAGAAGCAGACTGCTACATCTTTCTCCCATGGAGCAGAAGGGTTTCGAACTGCTAACCTTTCGGATAGCAGCAGAGCACTTTAATCACTGTGCTACCAGGGCTCCAAATCAAAACCCACTGCTGTCGAGTCAATTCCAACTCATAGTGACCCTATAGGATGGAGTAGAACTGCCCCATAGGGTTTCCAAGACTGTAAATCTTTAAGGAAGCAGACTGCTGCATCTTTCTCCCACAGAGCGGGCTGGTGGGTTCAAACCACTGACCTTTCGGTTAGCAGCCCAGTGCTTAACCTCTGCGCCATCAGGGCTCCTATAACTCTCCTAGAAAAGGTAATATTGAATCCTTTACCACATATTAGTTTATGAGATACCAAATATTCAACCACATGAAAAGCACTTAGCACCTAGGGAGAGAAATGGGAGAGGGAAGGGGTGGAATTCTCTGACTTGATCATTTTGCCTTTGGCAAACTTAACTGCAGTCCCAGGGTGGTGCAAATGGTTAATATGCTTGGCTGCTAAACAAAAAGTTGGAGGTTTGAGTCCACCCAGAGGCACCTCGGAAGAAAGGCCTGGTGATCTACTTCCCCAAAATCATCCTTTGAAAACCCTATGGAGCTCAGTTCTACTCTGACACACATGGGGTCACCATAAGTTGAAGCTGACTCGATGGCAACTGGTTTGGTTTTTGTTTTTTAGAGCTGCCCCAGTGGTTAAGCGCTCTGCTGCTAACCAGAAGGTTGACAGCTCACCCTAGATTCTGAGCCCACCAGCCACTTGGCAGGAGAAAGATGTGGCATTCTGCTTCCATAATGATTTACAGCCTTGGAAACCCTGTGGGGCAGTTCTACTCCATCCTATAGGGTCACTATGAGTTGGAATCAACTCGATGGCAGTGGATTTTTTTTAATCTTTTTTTTTAATTGTGCTTTAAGTGAAAGTTTACAGTTCAAGTTAGTTTCTCATACAAAAATTTATACACACATTGTTATGTGACCCTAGTTGCTCTCCCTATAATGTGACAGCACACTTCTCCTTTCCACCTTGGATTTCCCATGTCCATTCGACCAGCTCCTGTCCCTTTTTGCCTTTTCATTTTGCCTCCAGACAGGAGCTGCCCATTTAGTCTCATGTATCTACTTGAGCTAAGACGCACTCTCTTCATGAGTATCATTACATGTCTTATAGTCTGGTCTAATCTTTGAAGAGTTGGCTTCAGGAATGGTTTCAGTTCTGGGCTAACAGCGAGTCTGGGGGCCATGTCTTCCAGGGCCCCTCCAGTCTCAGTCAAACCATTAAGTCTGGTCTTTTTACGTGAATTTGAGTTCTGCACCCCACTTTTCTCCTGCTCCATCAGGGATTCTCTGTTGTGTTCCCTGTCAGGGTAGTCATTGATGGTAGCTGGGCACCATCTAGTTCTTCTGGTCTCAGGCTGATGGAGTCTCTGGTTTATGTGGCCGTTTCTGTCTCCTGGGCTAATATTTTCCTTGTGTCTTTGGTGTTCTTCATTCTCCTTTGCTCCAGGTGGGTTGGGACCAGTTGATGTATCTTAAATGGCCGCTTGCTAGCTTCTAAGACCCCAGACGCCACTCACCAAAATGGGATGCAGAACGTTTTCCTAATAAACTTTGTTATGCCAGTTGACCTAGATGTCCCCTGAAACCATGATCCCTAGACCACCCCCCCACTACTCTGTCCCTCGAAGTGTTTGGTTGTATTCTGGTTTTTGTTTTTTAAACTGAACTGCAAGGGTGTAGGGCAAGCAAATCTGAGAGTGGAGGGATGAAGAAGGCAGGGGATCAGAAGCTGGGTTGATCTGGCATCATAGGGCTATCCAAACCAAACCCATTACCTTCTGAATAGCAGATGAGTGCTTTAATCACTGCACCACAAGGACTCCAAACCAAAACCTACTGCTGTCAAGTCGATTCTGACTCATAGCGACCCTATAGGACAGAGTAGAACTGCCCCATAGGGTTTCCAAGGAGCACCTGGTGGATTCGAACTGCCAACCTTTTAATTAGCAGCCAAACTCTTAACCACTGCGCCACCAGGGTTTCTTCATAGGGCTATAGGCTCTCCTGATTCAAGAATAGATCAGCTCAGAATAGAAAAGAAGGAAGCCCCCAGAAACACACCCTCTCCCATCCTTAGCAGAAAGAAGAGATGAGATGCATAGCAGTCTTTTTATGTTGCAAAATCTGCCCAAGGTGTCCAGAATGTAAAAGCTTTTGGGTAAGGAGCTCAGGGAGTAAGGGAGGGACAAGTCTCACCCACTCCCACCTTCCCCATCACAGGATCATGCTTTCCTCTACATCCTCTTTAGCTCCATCCCCCAAACTCATGAAGGGGTCACCTAGAAGGAGAGCTTGGGAAAACGGGCCCTGGCAAATGCATGGCTGGGCTGCTGCCTCCTGGAGAATAGCCTTTGTGGGAAGAGCAACTAAGGAGACTGAGTCTCTGGCAAGCACCTGCTCCTCGGCTTGGCTCTGCCCATCAGTCAGACTCAGGTGTGGTCTAGCTGAGTGCCAAGCCCCTGTTAGCCCTGACAGCACGTGCTACTCTGACAGATGCATAGGCACCAATGGAGCTCTGTGACACTGAACACTCTGGGTGTTCACAGACAGCACTAAAATGCTGCAGTCTTCTGCTGCTGCTGTCACTACTGCCTGGGGCTCCCTCTGTTTGCCAAACCTGTTTCTCACCTCCTGGTAGGAAACCTTTCCAAACTGCTATTAAGCTCAGGTGCCTCCATTCAGGGGTAGAAAAAGCAGCATTGGCTTTGGAGCCAGACAGATCTGTTTGACCCTTTCTGTTCCTAAGTGTTTTACCCAGCAAGTTACCTAATCACTGCATTGCTTCCTAATCTTTGAAATGGGGGTTTATGCAGGGCTTCCAACCGATTCATTCTATTTGAACCCCTGCTGAGAATTTGCATTTCCATTCCAGATATACTAAACCATAATCTACATTTTAACAAGATCCCCAGGTGATTCTTATGTATAATAAAAATTTGAGAACCACTGCTATAGTAGTGGTTCTCAGAATTGATCCCTAACCAGCAACATTAGCATTTGGCATGGGAACTTGTTAGAAATGCAGATTCTCAGCAGGAGTTCAAACCGGAACTAACCAGTTTGAAGCCCTGGGTATATATATGCCTGCTTCACTCCAGATTGTGAGGACTGTTGTGTGCCATATAGTGATGCTATGTAACAGAGTAGAGATGCCCCATAGGGTTTCCTAGGCTGAAATATTTATGGAAGCAGGTTGCCAGGTCTTTTCTCCCACAGAGCGGCTGGTGGGTTCAAACTGCTGACCTTAGAGGTAGCAGCTGAGCGCTTAACCATTGCGCCACCAGAGCTCCTTTGTGAGGATTAAGGAGGATAATACATGCACAATGTTTGATACCTAAGCCTCTCAACCAATTTCCAGAAAATCTCTACCCCTTAGTTCAGCTGTGATTAAATTACAGGTAGTCCCCCGATTTACATTTTGGAGTTACCATGAACCGCACTTACCACTGTCCTTTTTTTTTTTTTTGGTACATCTTATTATAATATGTACTACATACAATGTTAAAATTATCTGTAAGTTTCTATGTGATGTTTCTAACCCCCAAAGGCAAATAAAGACAGGCTTTATAAAGATACTGATAATAAAAGGCAATAATAATGAAAACTAAAAAAAAAAAGGTATTCGACTGAGTCGTCAGAACGGAACCCTGTCGTAAGTCAGGGACTACCTGTAATTTATTAATACATATTTATTGAATGCTTACTATATGCCACAGTGCCTGGCAGGTGTGCCTGACAGTAGGTGTGTGTCTGATCTATGTTCTCCCCCTCAATTCAGGGCCTGGACTCCTTGAGTATGGGGAGTTCCCTTTTCTTCCTGTACGCACACATTCTCCTGGCGGAGAGGTTGCGGGCAACGGTCAGGAGCTTGGATGACAGATTCAGTAAGCTTTTAGCACAATAATTTTAATTGCAAAAATAAACAGTTTTGTCAACTGCTTGAGAGTAGCATCTGCTTTACAAAAATTAACAACAAAAAAGAAATAACCCCAAAGCAAAACGTTACATCCAATGGCTGCTGGAAACGACATTGCTGTACAAAGTCCCGCGCGAGACCGGCTCGGCGCTGCCCCAGCCTGTCTCTAGGGGGCATAGGGAGGGCGTGGGGGCGTGCGCCAGATACAAAAGACTGTCTTGAGTCCCAGGGAAGTGCCTGCTCAGTGGTGGTCTGAGAGGACTTTCCTCAAAGCGCGGCTGGCGGCTACGGCCGCTCACAAACCGCGGGAGCTGTCCGCGGAGCTGGTGCTGAACGGGACGTGTGCGGCGGGTGCTTCGCGGAAACTGAAGGCGGGACCTTAAGCCCGCCCAGGGGCGCGCAGGGAAGAGGTGGGAAGGGGGGCGATGAAGGGGGTGGTCTTCTCGTGTGCGCCAGGCGGCGGCGCCCCAACCTACAAACTCATCTCGCTCACAGGGCGGCGAAAGAGAGGCCCAGGGAGTAAAAGCCGAGGCCCTTGAGCCGCTCCTCGGCGCGTGCCTTCTGCTTGAGGTGCACCTTGCTGTGCCGTTTCTTCTCGTCGCTGCGCGCGAAGCGGCGGCCGCACACGTCGCAGGCGAAGGGCTTCTCGCCAGTGTGGGTGCGCACGTGCGTGGTGAGGTGGTCGCTGCGGCTGAAGTTGCGGAGGCAGATGCGACACTGGAAGGGCTTGTGGCCGGTATGGATGCGCAGGTGCCGGTTGAGCTCGTCTGAGCGCGCAAAGCTGCGCACACAGCTCTCCACCGGACAAGCAAAGGCTTTGGCATGCGGCCGCGGACAGAAGCAGCGAGCGCTACACTTGCTGCCCCGGCGCCCCTTTCGTCGCGCCTTGGCCGGGGGAAATGGGGCGGGCGGCGGCCCGGGAGGCGCAGCCACCCCACTGCCCCCGGGAATGTCCACCACCAGAGGTTTTGAGAAGTCAGCCGCGGCGCTGTGGAGACCCAGCGGGGATAGCTGAGGCTGTGTACTGGCCAGAAACTCTCCGACGTCGCCGCTGCTCCCACCCTCCCCACCAGGAGGGGTCAGGAGCCCCGGGAGGCCTTCGGTCCCCTCCCCTAAGTCACCAGGGACTAGAGGGAAAACGTCGTAGGCCTCTGCGGAGTAGAGTCTGTTGGCCGGGCCGGCCGGCAGCTCTGCGGGGCAGCTGATGGACAGCAAGTCTTCAATCTTTGTTCCCATCGCGGGGAAACGGGCCTCGGAGGCTGCCTGATAGCTTCCCTGTAACCCGGAGCTCCCTGGGGCCCCGGTAGAGAGCAGCTCCCAGGGGGCGTAGGGGCCCTTGAAGGCCGAGGCAGCGTCCAGCGCTGGAGACGCCGGAGGAGCTCGGAGGCCCGGCTTGACGTCGGGCGGGGAGAGCTGCGGCTCATACAGGCACTGCGAAGGGGCGCCCGCGGAGGGCGAAGCCTGCCAAAACGCTTCTGGGAAGGTAGCAGCGCCCAGATCCGGGGAGTAAAGGTCCGGCAGACCTGGCAGCAAAGCGTCAGGACCCGCGGGAAAGGGGGCGTCCAGCGCGGACCGGGATGTTGCCGCTTCGGGGCCGGGGAAGGGTGCGAGGCCTAGGATGCCTGACATGAGGTTGAAGAGTGCCTCTGGGTCGTGCGGGTGTTCGGGTACAGCCTGGATGAAAAAGCTACCGCTGTAGCTGAGGCCCGGAGGGGGCGTGGGCGCAGGCCCCTCCAGGAAGCAGGAGTCGGCTAAATTTCCCCCGGCGCCGCAGCTGCTCAAAGCCCAGCTCAAGAAGTCGCCTGCTGAGGATAGAGCAGGAATCAACTCTGGGCACCTCAAAGGGCGCGCCTCCGAGTCCGCAGCCCCTGCCCACGAAGTCCTTAGTGCGCAAGGACACAAAGTGCCTTTTGCACACTCTGATACAGCAAGGGGCCGGCATACGCTCCAAGACGCACATACAAACATGCACACGCAAAACACACGTGCAGAGGCAAAAGGACGCCCTGGTGCGTGCACAGGTTCCTGTGGAGGCGCTGGCGGCCTAGTGGGAATGGGGGTGCGCACCCCAAGACCTCCGTGCCTCCCGCGGCCGCTACCCCCACAGCTCCCGCGTTCCAATCCCTGTCCGCTGTCAGGCAACGTGCGCCTCCGCGCTGAGCTGCTGACTGAGCAACCCCGGTCACGCTCCTTACCTCCCGGGTAGCCGATGGCCGCTGGCGCGTCCCTGGCAGGTATCCGGGGCTCGGTGCTGGGTTCCGCGCAACAGCCCTCGGTGGACTTGACCAGGAGCGCGTCGGGGCCAGAAAACTCGCTGAGGTGGAGCATGGCGCGGCGGCGGCTGCGGGGCACCCGGGGCCTCACCCGCTGGGTTTGGGGGCGCGCGGGTGGAGGGGAGACCAGCGGTCGGGGCGCCCTGCGATGCGCAGACCCAGGCGCCTGAGCTCCTGGCTCTGGGCGCTCGCCTTTGGGAATAGGGTCGGGGGACCGCGGCGCCCTCGCTCGCCGGGACCGGCCTGGGGCGGCGGCTTCTCGCTTCTCCAAAGCGCAGCCAGGCTCCCCCAACCCGCGTCCCCCCCCCTTATATAGCAGCGGCAGCTCTGGCTCTGGGCTTCCGACTCCCCGGGCCACTGCCATTTCGGGAGGCCCCGTCCCTGCCACCGTGACGTAAATGCCCAAACATGGACAAAGGATGTGTGCCGGGGACTCCCGAAAAGGAAAGCTCGGCCTGTGACGTCACCGCCGCCACTGGCGCCGGGCTCGCGCCGCTGCGTGCGTGCGCTCCCCGAGCGTGAAGCCCGTGCCCGTCGGGGCCGCGGATGCACCCAGCTTGGGGGAGGGGGACTGCGCGGCGTGGGGTGGGGCAGCCAGTGCGCGCACTTCCTGCTTGGGGCCGAAGGACCGAGAGGGAAGTCTGCCTGGGCTTTGAGATTCCTTAGTTTAGGCTTCGAATCCGCCCTCTGACAGTTTCTAGCTGTTTCGATTAATTCCCCCTAACGTCGGTTTCCTTACCTGTAAAATGGTGATATTTATACCTACCTGATAAATTCTCTACGGAGAGTAATTGTGTTGGAGCACATGAAGTTCCAGGCACACGGGCACTCAGTAAACCACAGAGATTATTGCTATTATTCGTTCATTTTTTGCTCACTCCTGTAGCAATTTTTCCATTTTCTTAATGGTTAATGTTTTCTTTTTAGTTTGCACTAGGAAAAATAATTATTAAATTAAAAAGTAAAGTATACTTGCTAATGGAGAGGGCAGGTCAATTAGTACAGAAGGGTATTTTCTAAATTGAAAAGTGAAAGTCCCTCTTTGACCCACCCTCATTCCTGTCTCCTGAGGTAGCCAAATTTAAGTTTCTTGGGTAAATTTTCAGAAAATATTTATGTATATACAAGCATACATACTGTTCTGCAATATTATTTATTTATTCACTTAAAATAGCTTGGAGATTTCTCAACATCAGAACATATAGAGCCTCATCGTTTTTTAGGGCTGTATACTACTCCATGCAGCCCTGGTGGTGCAGTGGTTGAGAGCTACACTGCTAACCAAAAGGTCGGCAATTCGAACCCACCAGTCACTCTTTGGAAGCGCTATGAGTGGGAATGACAGCAGCAGGTTTGATTTATAGTACTCAGTGGTAAGGGAAGACCATGATTTCGTTAATTTCTCCCTTATCCATGAACATGTAGTTTCCCACCTTTTGCTTTTATTGTCTTAATTACCTATTGCTGCTATAACAGAAATACCACAAGTGGGCGGCTTAACAAACATTTATTTTCTCAGTTTAGGAGGCTAGAAGTCCAAATTCCTGGTGCCAGCTCTAGGGGAAAGCTTTCTCTCTCTCTTAGCTCTGGGGGAAAGGCCTTGTCCCTTGGTTCCTTGGTGATCTTCATGTGGTATGACATCTATCTTCCCCATCTCTGCTTTCTTAATCTCCTCCTTTTATATGTCAAAAGAGATTGATTTAATACATACCCTACACTAATGCTGCCTGGTCCTGCACCATCCTCACAATTGTTATGCTTGAGCGCATTGTTGCAGCCACTGTGTCAACACATCTTGTTGAGGGTCTTCCTCTTTTTCACTGACCCTCTACTTTACTAAGCATGATGTCCTTCTCCAGGGACTGGTCCCTCCTGATAACCTGTCCAAAGTATGTGAGACAAAGTGTTGCCATCCTTTCTTCTAAGGAGCATTCTGGCTGTACTTCTTCCGAGACAGATTTGTTCCTTCTTCTGGACCATTAAAAACCCATTGCCATTGAGTCAATTCTGACTGATAGTGACCCTATAGGACAGAGTAGAACAGTCCCATAGGGTTTCCAAGGAGCAGCTGGTGGATTTGAACTGCCAGCCTTTAGGTTAGCAGCCAAACACTTAACTACTGGGCCACCAGGGCCCCGGTTCTGGCAGTCCATGGTATATTCAGTATTCTTTGCCAACACCATAATTCAAAGATATTAATTCTTCTTCAGTTTTCCTTATTCATTGTCCAGCTTTTGCATGCATGTGAGGCTATTGAAAATACTATGGCTTGGGTCAGGCACACCTTAGTCCTCAAAGTGACATCTTTGCTTTTTAACACTTTAAGGAGGTCTTTTGCATCAGATTTGCCCAATGCAATGCATTGTTTGATTTCTTGACTGCTGCTTCCATGGGCATTGATTGTGGATCCAAGTAAAATGAAATCCTTGACAACTTCAATCTTTTCTCCGTTTATCATAATGTTGCTTATTGGTCCAATTGTGAGGATTTTTGTTTTATGGTGATATGCAATCCATACTGAAGGCTGTAGTCTTTGATCTTCATCAATAAGTGCTTCAAGTCCTCCTCGAATTCAGCAAGCAAGGTTGTGTCATCTGCATACCGCTGGTTGTTAATGAGTCTTTCTCTAATCCTGATGCCATGTTCTTCTTCATATCATCCAGTTTCTTGGATTATTTGCTCAGCATACAGATTGAATAAGTATGGTAAAAGGAAAGGAGCCCTCGTGGCGCAGTGGTTAAAGCAATCAACTGCTAACCCAAAAGCTCAGTGATTCGAAACCACCAGCTGTTCTGTGGGAGAAAGATGTGGCAGTCTGCTTCCATAGAGATTTAGAGACTTGGAAACCCTATGGGGTTGCTATGAGTCGGAATCAACTCAATGGCAGAGGGTTGAGATTTTTTTGGGTGAGAAGATACAACCTGACACATACCTTTCCTGATGTTAAAAACACGCAGTATCCCCTTGTTCCCTGCCTCTAGATCTATGTACAGGTTCTGCATGAGCACCATTAAGTGTTCTAGAATTCCTATTATTTGCAATGTTGTCCATAATGTGTTATGATCTACACAGTTGAATGCCTTTACATAGTCAATAAAACACAGGTAAACATCTTTCTGGTATTCTCTGCTTTCAGCCAAGATTCATCTAACATCAGCAATGATATCCCTAGTTCCATCTTGTCTCCTGAATCCGGCTTGAATTTCTGGCAGTTCCCTGTCGATGTACTGCTGCAACCGCTTTTGAATGACATTCGGGAAAATTTTACTTGTGTGTAATATTAATGGTACCAAAATAACAGCAAACAACCCTTTGCCATGAAGTCGATTCTGACTCATAGTGACCCTATAGGACAGAGTAGAACTGCCCCATAGGGTTTGCACGTAGTGGCTGGTGGATTTGAACTGCTGACGTTTTGGTTAGGAGCTCCTAACCACTGCACTGTTGGGGCTCCCCCACAGGTATAGAGGTTAGGATTTACAACACATATTGTTGGGGGACACAATTCAATTTATAATACTAACATTGTTGTAGTCAACTTACTTGACTATATACATGTGACTATATCTGTAGGGTAAATTCTAATGAGTGTAATTTGTGAGTCAAATGGTATGAAACATTTTGATAACTGGAAAATTGTCCTCTAGAAAAGCAGGGCCAATTCCCGCTCTCCCTTTCTCCCCCCATAAGATTCCTCTATAGATTTTTACTCTAGGGACATTGTTCCCAGCAACATACAAAGGATCTGCAGGAAATGTTTCCCTGGCATCTGCACCTGGAATAATTGTGCTGCTTCTGAAAAATTAAAAAAAAATAAAAACAAAATCTTTCCCCCTCATAACCTTTAGGAAGTTATGAACCTTGGCCAAGAAGCCTGCCTACTCTCCTGCTCTGGTTTCCCTTCTCTCTCATTTTCTCATCCTCTTTCTAAACTTTCATTTTATTTTGTGTTAGAACACACTTAACTCCTTTTCTGGAACAAAATTAGGGGATTAAATAAATACATGGGAGCTTTTCTTCACAAAGAGCAACGATGCCTGGGACTCTGAGTGCTGGAAGATGGGGAGGGTTGGAACTTCCCTTTCCTTCTCTACTTTCCTAGAAATGGGAACAAAGCCATTGGGGATGAGGGGCTACAGCATGACTAGCAGCATATCCCAGCCTCCTCTAACCCCATACTCTCCTTTCTAAGAGAGACTGCCCAAGAATGCCTAAAACCTGCGAAGTTCTCAGTCCTTTCACCCTATGTCCATTATCCAAACATTCATTCATTCAGTCAGTCTTTAGTCCTTAAATGCCTACACTGGGACCCCGAAGCCCATCTCCATCCCTAGCTGCCCACCCTCCACTCCACAACAATCCTGTAAGTGTGTTCGTGGAATATGTTTCATCACACAATCACCTTGCTGGCATGTTTGCAGGTGTCTTCTCCTTGTGTCGGCAAATCGTGCAAAGGTTTTCAGAGTCACATGTGCAGTGTGTCATAATAAATGCCACATATATCTCTATGTTCCCATATTCCTATGTGAACAGCACATATGTCTGCATGTTGGAATGAAGAAGCAAGCACATATCTGCAAGGATTAGACACATAGAGCACTATTTCCCTTATACTGTATTTCAGACCTGGGCCTGATTCTAATCCAAATGCATTGCCAAGGCCAGGTGAACCCACACCAGAGACGCAGGGCACACATGTCTCAGATACACTCTGGCATCTTGCTGCCTGGGAGAGAGGGGAGGGGAGGGGTTTGGCTGGGCCAGTGTCCAGGGCTCCCCAGGTTGCCCCGTCAGGCCAGATTGGCCAGCCCCAGGTTCCCCATCTGTTATGGATTGAATCGTGTCCCCCCAAAATATGTGTTGTAAATCCTAACCTCTAGGCCTGTGGTAAGGAGCCCTGATGGTGCAGTGGTTAAAAGTGTTTGGCTGCTAACTGAAAGGTTGGCGGTTCAAAACCCACCAGCCTCTCCGCAGGAGAAAGATGTGGCAGTCTGCTTCCATAAACATAACAGCCTTGGAAACCCTGTAGGTCAGTTCTACTCTGTTCCATAGGGTCACTATGAGTTGGAATTGACTCTATTGGCAATGGGTTTGGTTCTTTTTATGCCTATGGTTATAATCCCATTTGGGAATGGGTTGTCTTTGTTATGTTAATGAGGCAGGATTAGTGTAGGGTGTATCCGGAGTCAATCTCTTTTGAGATATAAGAGAGATTAAACAAGCAAGCAGAGCAGAGACTGAGGAAGAGAGATGCTAAGGCACATGAAGATTGCCCAGGAGCAGAAGCTCAAAAGAGACAAGGACCTTCCAGAGCCGGCCGAAAAAGCCTTCTTCTAGAGCCAGCACCCTGAATTTGGACTTCTAGCCTCCTAAATTGCGAGAAAATAAATGTCTGTTTGTTAAAGCCACCCACTTGTAATAGTTCTGTTATAGCAGC